AGAACACATTTAGATAACAGAAATGGCAAAGGAGGTTAAGGGGTTGTTGTTAGGCACCCTTAATCACTACTCATAGCAATGCTATCAACAACATATCTGAACCTTGCTGAATCTTGCCCTAGCCTCACAGTACATTCGAGCCCTATTACAGTCACTGTGGTGTTTCACTGAGGGTCTTACTCTCTTTCACTGACCCGTTGCCTCTTCTCAGCATAATGCCTTTCTCCAAGGACCAACGTCTCCTGACAACATGCCAACATGTATGAGATGAAAACTGCACTTCCTCTCTATTTGTATGCTTTTTAGGCAGTTTATTCAATACTCTTTTCCAACATCACCATTCAGAGAAACTAATTCTTCTAGGAATCAGTGTCATAAACTATACATTTTAAAGTATCATTTTGTATGAGCCTTTTATACATGAGATAATGTGTTCAATTCAGACAGGTTTTGATATTTTTACATCTTTTGTCACCACGATGGTGAAAAAACCCATAAAAATATAATTCTAAAAAATACCAACAATAATAGCAAACCATTAATACTACGATAATATAGGGTTTATAAAAGCTCCCAAATATCACATATCTTTCATGCCTTATCTATCCAAGATCTTGGGACATACTTAATGTTTGCATAAAGGTAGCAATCCTTTTTAATTGTTAAATAACCTCTAAGGTTGAAGTTATGAAAAATGGCCATGAAAGCAGCAAATACCTGAGGTACTCACAGCTGTGGAGTAGGGATTATGAGCTCCAGTGTTTTCAGCCCAACAGCCACATCCATAATGAGCAGCCTGAAAAAAGAAGACAGATGAAATATTTGTGCAATGCATTTGTATTATGTAATTAGCTTTCAACAGGTGACAATATCATGTCCAGCTTTTAAAACTCTGTTTAGTAATGAAGAGCATCAGGTGGCAATGTTGTCATTGTTATGTGCCATCAAGTCGTTTGCAACTCATAGTGACCCTATGTAGAACAGCCCTAAACCCTGCTCTATCCTGTGCCGATCACACTGCCTCTGACACACCCATCCTGATAACCCCAGTCACTGAATCAATCCACCTCATAGAGGGTCTTCCCCTCCTGCGCTATCCCTCCACCATCCCAAGCATGATGTCCCTCTCCAAGGACCTGTCTCTCTTTACAACATGTCCAAAGTATGTCAGCCAAAGCCCCAGAATCCTTGCCTCCAAGGAGCA